ATCATACTCCTGGTTGAAGCCCGGTGGTAAATCTAGTGGATTCTCGTCTCCCTCCCGTCCGACTCCTTCTACGCCCACCGCCGGTCCTGAAAAATCCGGTGTCGGTGAATCCACCCCCAGTCAGACTCAGCGTCGTCTCGGAATATGGCGTGAAGATCAAGAGAAGGGGTTGGGTATTCAGGTCAGAGATGTTTTGTTCATGCTGGAAGCGGATGGACGGGCAACCCGCCATGTGCAGAGAGGTTACCTGAAGGACCCCAAAGAGGATCGGGATCGAAACTGATCGGGTCCTAAATGGTTGTAATCTTATTTTCTTGTGTCCCTAATTTCTTTATTGGCCCCTGGGGGCCTTATGGCTTCGGGCATCAGGAGTTTTTGCATTCTCTGCGTATGTATGGTGGCGTTGGCTGGCTTATTGGGGGTTGTCAGGTTGTCAGGCCATGATCTTTAATTCCATTCAACTGTCGGATGAGCGTACATCTTTGATTGGAGAATTGACAGACTAGAAAACTTCCTGTACCTCGTTGGATCATTCTTCTCTCTTCGCTCTTGGCTATGTTTCCATCTAGTCCTCCGTACTAGTACGGTGATAAGTATACACTTCACATTTGAATTGCCTTACTTTTAGACATCTCTTAGTCGGAAATTCATATTGGTTGCATTAATCCAGCAACCGTCATCTCACGGGGAATATATAGGCATCCTTTTTATAAATTGTCATCAGGTTTCGTTCAATCGGTATTTATTGTCATTTTCCTCAGGTTCAATACACAACCCCTTCTCTCCCAATTTTCCGTTTTCCTCTTCTAACACACCCCCCACAGCCCGTTAATGACCAACCCATCGGCTTTGAGTGCTAATATGCCTACATGCAATGGGCTTGCGTGTTTCTCAATCTAGATGCTGACTCGGTTGGAATGTCATGTGGCATACGGGAGGGGAGAGTCCTGATATTGGCGACTGCGTGGGATTTCGTGGGATTTCGTGGGAGATGCTGTGGGTTATATTGTTCGAACTACTCTTGGGGTTTGGTCTTCTTAATATTCTCCATTCCTTGTGGATTGAATTCGGCTAAGCCAGGGCTTGGACACGATGCTCCATTTCCGGTGGCGCCCCCCCCCCCCCCCAACGGCCCCTCAAGGCCCCTCCAGGGCTCTAAATCCTTTTAATAATATTCATGGCTGTGTTGGAACGAGGAGATCACATCCCGCCTCTTTTCCCTAGAGGCCCATGCGCCTCTTAAGTTGAGGGTTTTCGATTTCGCATGTATTAAGCAAATCACCTATTAATATAGGTATCTGATGATTTAGAAATTTGAATTAGACCCAAAAAGACCAATTCCACCATCAACACCATTAATTAACGGTGTTTCAGACAGCGAGTTCTAATTTTACAGAAGAATCATAAGGATTAATAGGTCAAAAATGCAAAATCCCAAGTTGATCGGCAACGGGTCCCAACTCTCCGACTCTTCCATCATCACTCATCTTTGCCTCTAGGCCCTTCCCTCCCCACCTCGTTTACCACAGATGTCGCTAAGTTCCTCAATGATTTTTGCTTCACTTCCTTGTCTTCAAATTGTCGAGGAGATGCAACGCATTTGAAACAGTCTTTCCCACCTTGCCTCCCCCGACCGCCTCAGCCCGTCATCTTCACGTCTCCCCAGAGATCTCCTTCCGGACACACTTGTCAACCTCAATCTCTGTCGGCGTAGTTCCTCTCTAGTTGGCTAGTCCTGCCTGGAGATCCACGTCTCCACTGAGGAAAAGTGACGCGCGACATCAACCATCGGTCATAAATTAGACCAGTCTTCTCTCCACAACCTTCATACCGTTCGTGTGACGGGATACCTTCGTGCACAATGTCCACCCCGTCCACTGCCACTGCCACGCATCCCTCTCATCATCAGGCTTACGGATATCCTCACCACCCTTCGTATCAACCGAATAACTCCTACCCGACTTCGACCACGGCCGCAGGAACTCGCCTCGCGAACCCCTACGCTATTTCCGTCCCCTCTCCGACAACGACAACCCTTCCCTACACCCAACCTCCGAGAATTCCTCCCGCGACATCAACTCCGTCGGCTATGACCCACCAGAGTGGCTCCAGCGTGGCTCCCTCCGTTGGAGGTCGGAGAAAGAAACCAGACTGGACCGAGTTCTACAAGAATGGTCTTCCCAAGGAAGTTATTGTGATTGACGACACTCCTGGCCCAGAGCCATCCAATGACCCTCCTGTAACTACATCTGCCAGATCACCTCCTGTGGCTCCTCAGCCCGCTGGAAAAAGGCGACGGACGGGGATTGAGACCGCCTATGACTTGGGTCACTATGACCGTCCGTCATTTTCAATCAATCCCCAACATTACGGCGAGGAATCCTCTGCCACGTCCTTATCGACTGATCGAACCGCATCGTTACACACAACCGCTCCAACTTCACTTGGTTCACAGGGTAGTTCGGGGGCAAGCAATGGCGTCTACTATGAAGATGGCTCTACCGGTCAAAAGCGGAAACGCGCCACTCGGAAATCCACCCGCGACGAACAGAAGCGACGAGAGTTGGAGACTGCAGGTGATGCTTTCCTGAGCTATGTCCCACCTCCAAAGCCGCCGATTAAAGCAAAGGATGTCCCTGTGCCAGTCGTTCGTGATGTGAGTAAATAATTTTTCACCACTTTTTTTTCCAAGTAAATCCACTGACAAATTTTTTTTTTGGCTCGAGCAGTACACCAGTTCTCAGAACAAGAAGTTTGACGATGACGATGGCCATTACATTGTCACACCCGATACGCCATTGACAGATCGATGTAAGCGAAAAGAGATATCTTGGTACCTAGTTGACTCTGCTAATTCCTTTTGAGACTCTGTGATCAAACTTCTAGGCCAAGGTACATTCGGCAAAGTTGTCGAAGCCTATGACAAGCAGCGCAAGGCTCGCTGTGCAGTCAAAATCATACGCTCGATTCAAAAGTATCGCGACGCGTCTCGAATCGAGCTACGAGTCCTATCAACGTTGGCTTCGAACGACAAAAGCAACCGCAACAAATGCATCCACCTTCGGGACTGCTTTGACTTCCGGAATCATATTTGCATTGTCACTGATCTCCTAGGACAAAGCGTGTTTGATTTCCTCAAGGGGAATGGATTCGTGCCATTCCCGAGCAGTCAGATCCAGCAGTTTGCTCGGCAGCTGTTCACAAGTGTTGCCTGTAGGTTCTCTACCACAAATAGATCTATCTATCAGACCACTGACCTATTAGTCCTTCACGACCTAAATCTTATCCATACCGACCTCAAACCCGAAAACATTCTTCTCGTCAGCAACGCCTATCAAACCTTCACTTATAACCGCACTATACCATCCTCTTCCCATGCCACAGCTCGCAACGCGCGGCAGCGGCGTGTTCTCCTCGATGGTGAAATCCGACTCATCGATTTTGGTTCGGCGACCTTTGATGATGAATATCACTCATCGGTCGTCTCTACCCGCCACTACCGGGCTCCCGAAATCATATTGAACCTGGGATGGAGCTTCCCATGTGATATCTGGAGTATTGGGTGTATCCTGGTGGAATTCTTCACCGGAGATGCCCTTTTCCAGACACATGACAACCTTGAACACCTGGCAATGATGGAATCCGTCATTGGCAATCGGATCGACACCGCTTTGGTGAAGAAAGTCATGGCGGGCCGAGGTGGTAGTCTCAACTCTGCTTCCAAGTAAATGTGGCCCCTCCAATCTTTCTGTTACAGGACCTAACTTTACCAGGTACTTCAACCGAAGCAAGATTGATTATCCCAACGCTGAAACCACCCGGGCCTCGCGGAAGTATGTACGCGCGATGAAATGTTTAACAGTAAGTGTCCCGCATCTCTCTGCCTGGTGGGGCTTCCTTCCTTTTGACTGATTTTTGTCCATCGTAGGAGTTCATCCCTACCAACACACCATTCAACCGTTCATTCCTGGATTTGCTGCAACAGATCTTTGTCTATGATCCCAAAAACCGGATCACTGCAAAGGAGGCCTTGAAGCACCCGTGGTTCAAGGAGACACTCGTTGATGATGGCACAGAGGCATATCGGATCGGCCAAGGATTGCATCGTCAAGGTCGCACCAACTAGGCTTCAGGTCTAATTTGCACAGCTACAGTAGCCAATACTCGGCTTTTTCAACGACACCAGGAGGAACTTCACCGGCGTGAACAGGATCCAGCAATGGATAGAAGGCTCATATCTTGAGGGTAATCTTTTTCTCTATCGCGAATGGGACGGAATGGTGTTTGCACTTCGGAAAATCATGATTACGATGTTTCTTTTTCTTTCTAATTTCTTTTCGGTTCCTGGGGGTTTTCACCGTTGACTCCTGCAGGTGTCACCTCAGGCAGGCTTCGACTGTCTTTGTGACACCACATGGCAGGGGCACTGGACCCTTGACCCTTGAGCAACCGGAATCGCTGCATGTATCCTTGAGGGACCTATCCCCTGATGCTCCCCGGTTTTACTTTATTTGCTTTATCTATCCTTCTATCCCATTCTTAAAGGCGCCGGTTACATGTTCTACTGCTTTTTTTATCGCCCTGTTTATGGAATCCGGCTTTGGGAGCCCTGGAGGGTAGGCTAAGTCTGGATGATTATACCATTTGATTGTTTGTGGCGTCCATTTGTTAACCGTACGGTGCGTGTGTATATATGTGTTTTTCCCTTTCGTTTCTAATCCTTCTCAGATCTGTACATGACTCTTCTGCCTTGTTCGTCTTGGTTTCTTTTGTATACATCGGAGCGGAATAACCCGATGCCGTGTCCACCGAGGGGAATCTACCTGCGCAGAAGTCACAAGCCCACTTGTTCTGTTACAATTAACATTACAAGCAATAGCAAGACTTGACTCCGTGAATCCAATTGCAGATTCATGCATGGCGTGTGTAAATTGTGTCTATCGCCATATCAACACCCGGGGAACTCAAATCCCCTTCTATCCAATCCATGACTCAACACCATGGACTCTCCAGCATGGCAAGTCGAAGAGATGACGATCACAAAACTCCATGAACTACTCCGTGTCGATCCGACCATCGGCCCGGAGCTGGTAAACCATTATCTCTCAACAATCAAACGGCAAGACGGCACCCTTAAAGCCCTCATCGGCATAAACAACGCAGCCCTAGAAACCGCCATGGAAAAAGCCACAGAAACACTCACATTCAACCAAAGAAACAGAACCTACCCACCATTACACAGCGTGCCCATAATCCTAAAAGACAACTACTGCACAACAGATCTACCAACAAGCGCAGGCGTGAAAGCCCTTCGAAACCTGCGCACAAAAGCCGATAGCGAAGTAGTCTCCCGGCTACGCGCCGCAGGAGCAATTATCCTAGCAAAAGCTAACCTCCACAAATTCGCCCTGCAGGGAATAACTCTCTCCTCGCTGGGCGGACAGACGCTGAACCCATACGACAAGACCCGCACACCGGGCGGATCCTCCGGTGGGACAGGCGCAGCGCTAGCGGCAAATTTCGGGCTCGCGGGGTGCGGGACAGACACGATGAACTCGCTGCGGTCGCCTGCGTCTGCGTGCGGGGTTGTGGGGTTCCGGCCATCGACGGGAAGAGTATCTTGTGTTGGGATTGTGCCTGTTTCCCAAAGGCAGGATATGGCTGGGCCGATGGGGAAGAGTGTTGGGGATGTGAGGATTTTGTATGAGGTTATGAAGGGGCCGGAGGAGGTGAATGGGGACTTTGTGCAAGAATCTAAAATGAAACGTGGTCGTCAAGTTCGAATCGGAGTGTTGGAGGCTTATTTCCACCCTGAAATCCAAGCCGAGGGAAGTGTTCAATCGGAGCATATCGCCGAGAACCGGATCGTGCAGGACATAATCCGGTCGAGTTTGGATTCTATCCAGGAGCAAGATGCGGATTTCAACTTAGTATCTGTTGCCCCATCGAGTCATCCAGACTGGAGTTATGGAACCCTGTTTGCGAAGGGGGATACACAGGCTTTTGAGTTTAAACATTATCTCGATGAGTTCCTACAGTCGCCATTGGTTTCATCAACACCGCACCGATCACTGAAATCTATTGCCCAGAGCGGCGAGTTCGATCTACAAGCTATGACACACGTTTTCTCAGCAGCACTGCAGGATCCTGAGACGTTTTCACTGACGAGCGAGGCGTATCGAAGCCGACTGGAATATGTTGCTGCTCTTAAAGAGTCTGTGAATCAATGTTTCGAGAGGTACGATATCGACGCGCTGGTATATCCGCACCAGAGACACCTCCCTGTAAAAATTGGCGTGAAGAAGCAGTCTGGACGGAATGGTGTCCTGGCTGCGTTGACGGGGAGGCCTGCTATTTGTATTCCAGGTAGGTGTTATGTTGAACTAATGGGGATGACAGCTGGGCGGAGCCCTCAGACTGCGTCTGCCGTGCTTGGTATTCCTATTGGGTTGGAGCTGATGGGCCGGCGTTGGGGAGACGATGAATTGCTCGAAATTGCGGAGCGGGCCGAGGGGATCCTGAAGGGTAGAGTGGCACCCGCCCCATCTTGAATGGTAGATAAGGGACAACAGTTTTCATATTTATAATCGGGACAAAGGGTCTATAGAATTCTCTAACCTGTGCAAAGACAATGTAATATATGCGCGCTGCAAAATGCCGAAGATCCAAAAATTACATTCCGCGATTGAACTCCACCATACCGAGATCACCACCACGACCGTGGAACTCCTCCTCGAGGCTATCAACACTGATAGCCTGACGAGACGGGAACGCAGCGAGCGCAAGCGGCAGCGCAAAGAGCGACGTACCCAGAATCAGCGCCAGATTAATAGGCATAACCATGCGGGGGCGGGCACGGAGCCAGTTCGTCTTCTCGAGACGAACGAGGATCAGCGGGGGTAGGACCATGATAGGTGTAGCGTTGAGGACACGGGAGATAGCCGTCTCGCCGACGGCAATGGTAGCAGCCTTCTTGCTCTTTCCAATGCTCTGAACAGGCCCAGCGTCCTCGTTGAGCTCGCGCTTGGCACGCTCAGCCTCTGACAGGACAGGGTAGATGTCAATACCCTGGCGGATTTCCTCGCCGCGCATAAGAAAGACATTCAGGGCGGAGGCGGAGGCGACGGCGGCGAAGGGGACGAGACGGGAGAGGATGAGGCGGGTGTTTGGGGAGATGCTCTTTAGGCGGGGGACGAGGGCGTTCAGACCGACAGCGACTGAGCAGGAGGCTGAGACGGCCATGAGGTATGACTTGCCGATTTGCGACAAGGAGAGGGGGGTAGATTTGTTTGCGTTTGCATTGTTGACGGCGACGTTGAGAGACTGGTTACCGATTTGCCAGAGGAGAGTTCCGGTGGTCTATATTGTAAGCATGTTGTTATTTTTTTTATTTTTCAAAACTCTGATATATGTGTGGAGAAAGGTGCTCACCTGCAATCCTGGGGTCAGCATGCCGGCTGTGACAACCAAGTTCGTGAGCACGTAGCACGACATGCGAAAGGGCAAGAAAACGGGTGTACCCGTATCTGGTCAAGTCGCGTGTTAGTCGATGGATATTTCGTGAGATTGAAGGGGCCCATACCAGGGTGCAATGTCGCATCAACCACTTTCTTCGCCGACCACAACTCCGGTGTCATGACCGGGATGCGGTTCTGCTTGTACGAAGCAATGAGGCTCTTGGCGCTTTCAAGACCGGCGGATGAAACGAACAGGGTCCTAATTTGATTGTCATGATCAGTGTGTGCTCTCAGTACGACTTGTCACTTCTCTCTGAACTTACCGAGGATCAGAAATATCGACGGCATGGCGCACGCGACCCCAATAGGTTGATAGGTTATATTGTGACGCGGGTAGGTCTCGACTGCCAGGGAGAGAGGCAGACATTTCAGTGAGTGAATGACGAGGCACAAACGACTGGAATCAGACCAAAGAGAGTGAGTGGCGCGCAAAAAAAGAGAGGGAGGGCACTCCGCTCCGCGGAGAGGAAAGCGCTTTTTTGATAAAAAGGGCGGTGAGCCGATAAGCGCGGATTGGCCAATCAGACTGCAGTCCGATCTCAACAATGTCCGATATCTAAGAGGGCTTTTTGCAAAGGGCTTACTCCAATCACGGCGAGGTTCGGTCAACTAGGAGGATAAGCGGGGGCACATTGAGAGATGGATGAGGGAAAAGGGAGTAATCGGCGATTGTGAGACTGAATAAGTAGGTAGGCACCCGGCCCGGCTCCTCTCCCGGGACCGGTTCGCTACTCCGATATGCGGGGTTTTGCAAGCTACAACACAGAGAAGACAAGATGTGCGGAGAAGTATAGCAACGATTCTATTCTGGTTTCTTCCAGGGTTGTGAGGGGAATAGTACATAGGTATCATAAGGGGAGTGTCGTGGGGTCTCAGAAGGGGTCCTGAAAAGGGCAATTGTGAGATGGCGGCAGGGTGGCCGGGCTAGTGCAGTATAAAGGGCCCGGTTTAGGCACGAACCACACAACAGTAATCACGAGGCACCACTCTTTCCAAGAAATATTTGCATCCAAGACGGCAGTCGACGCACCGGGTTTAGCGGAAGCGGAACGACTTGTGGGCCAAGGGAGAGGGAGGGGCTTGTCTCGTGGGAACACAAGGTGGTCGGGCACGGTTTTGGCGGGATGGTGTTTGAGCACAAAAGACGCAAACATAGACGGAGGGCAAGTTTGCACGCTCTAACCCCACGCATCTGGTATGCAGCCAGTGTGTACACGATTCACTGGGAAAGTTAGTACCAATCGACTTTTGAATTGATGGCCGATGGGGAGTGGGACTCACCATTGAATCATGAGATGGCCACCGTTGTCCATCGAGCGGCAAACACATCGGGTACCGTTGCTGGGGTTGCTGTGTCGGTCTGTGCTGGGGGTTGCCAGATCAGGATCGGTCAAGGTCGTGGGAGAAGCATTGTGGCGGGGGTGTAGGTCAAAATCACTGCCAAGGCGGGGTGGTGATGAGCGGAGATGAGTAAAAGTGTGGGATGACCGAGAAAATCGGTTGCCAAACACGCTCGAAGCGGGTCTTGGGCCCCGACCGCGTTCTTTAAGAACCTGCCGGAGCGCGGATTGAGCATCACCACTTTCGTCGTCCTCCCCGGGTAACAAGTCTGATGCTACGCTACTCCGAGTGTAGGTCGAGTCCGAATGCAGCAGAGACGAATGCCGTTTGGGTGTCCGCTTAATGCCAGGAGATCCACCATAGGTTGCTCGCCCGCATCCCCTAGAAGAGCCAGCCCAGGGTGACATCCGACCCGAGTGTGACGAGCCGACGGTGGAAGCATAGGAGCCCTTTGAAGGAGGTCGGGAGCCTGAATCACTCCGGGATAGTGGACGCCTTGAGCTGTCATAGAGCGAAAAGGATGATTGAGCGCGATGTAGTACGGGATATTCCGAGAACTCGGCCGGATCTGATTCGCTCTCAGTTGTAAAGCCATCTAGATCAATCCCAGTCAGAGGATCGGTCAAACCTGTGGGGGCCTCGCTGAGTGGCTCCATTTCAGCCTTTGCCCGGCCATCACGACCGATGCGAAGCACTACAGACGATGAGCGAGTCAAGGAGACGGTGGCTGTCGAGCTCGATCGTGCCAAGGGGGCTGGACGCATGGATTTCGCTGGGGACAAACGCCCTTTACACGGGCTCTTTCGGATTCCGCTGGTGGATGCCATCAAAGCTCCTGCTTGACTGAGCTGCCGGGATGAGCTAGACAGGCCGTTGTGAGTCAGGCTACGGGCTAGACCTGGCCGTATTCCTTTCGGTGTATAGTCGTCATCTTCCTCGTCGCTGTCGCTCAGGAAGACGGTAAAATTATCGTATCGGTGGCCACTTGGTGCCTGTGCACGGATTAGCTCCTCCCGCCTTGACTCTTCTGCCTGGTGGTGATAGGGCTGTCGCAAGCCACGAAGAGACCGTGTCTCTGGTGTCAGCTGAGGCCCTCCGAATCTCCGCGCAGGGGAGCTGAGAAATAGAGCTGGATCCTCAGCCTTGGTAACCGGGAGCCGGGGCGAGGTAGAGAACGGTGCGGGAAATAGGGCAGCGTCAGTGGGTGGTGGTGCCGAGATTCCAAACCCATTTCCGAAGTCGGGAATTGAACCACCAATGGTTGGTAACTGGGGGATGTGATTTGCGTTTGTAAAGGCGGAACTTTGACGAGCATTGAAATTGATCCCTCTGCTGGGTAATGGAATCTCGCTCGCTGTATTGTCTAGATCATGATCCCAGAATAGTCGTTGCTGTGGGAAGAAAGGCGAGCCCGTGGGGTCTAGTGAAGCCAGTTGGAAAAGATCAGGCGACGATTGGAGGTTGCCAAACATTCGAGGGGACGCTCCAAGAAGACGACTGGGTGTTTCCAAATGACCTTCCATGCCCGGCATTGCTCCTTGTGTATTTCGATCGGGCTGGTCAAACTCGGGGATTTTTCTTCTTGATGCACTTGTCGGCGGCGGGGTTTGCATCGAGGCTGCTGACTTGGCCGATCCCACTGTCCGAGGGTCATCCTCGCCCGTACTCGGAAGAGGCTTCACCGAGCGAATGCGTCTGGCCGTATCGGTCTGGTCCGAGGACCTCCCCCTGTAACCAGCAGTCTCCCCATTGTGACCTTTCAGTGAATTCGACGAGCCTAGACCAAACTTCTGCGGCGTGCGGAGAAGCTCCGGGCTGGAGGCATACGGATCTGAGGTATCCCAAGTCACCCGAGGATCAAAAAAGCTGGATTCGAGTATTGGGGTGTGAAACGAGTCGAAGGTGTTCGGAGTCCTCGTCGGAGTTTGAGGTTCACCGTTGGGATAGCTAAAGGTGAACATAAACGAATCCATGAGCGTCTTTTTCACATCGGCATGTAGTATAGATTGGTAAAAAAAAACCACCTCCCCCCTCCCCCCAAAAAAGGGAATCGAAGACTACAATGTAATACCCCTCACAAAGGGGGTCTGTCAAGGGAGAATGCATACCTGTGGACAGGGTGATCCCAACTCATGTCAGCAACACAGACCCAGTAACCATTGAAGATCAAGCTGCCAGGCAACTTTAACTGATTGAGAATGACAGAGAACAGAGATTGGAGATGGGTAAAATCATTAGTTACTTCATATTGTGTGTGTAGAGTTATAATGAGGAATGGGTATTGGAAGGAGAGTTGAAGGGGAGAGATGTTTTCCTTTTGCTCTGTTTGTCGGTGTTTTCTTTTTTTTTTTTTTTTTTTTTCTTTTCAAGAGAAATTCTCTTTTTCTTGTTTTTCTTCTTTTTTCTTCTATCTTTTTATATATATATATTTTTATTTTATTTCTTTACGTGGGGACTCGGGTCTTTTTTTTTTAATTTCTAACAGAATCCACTGATCCACAGCTCTTTCATGTTCCGATGTGCTAGGACGGAGTATATCTTTGAAGGATGTTGTGCTTCATGCAGGAACAGGAGATATGAATCATACATTCAGTGTTCAGTTTACATCTGAGTTTAGCTACCAACCTTGAAAAGTCAGAGATTTCCCCTTGTCTGTCGATCTAGACAGTGAACTGCAAGGACAAGAGCCATCGGGGATGCCGGTTCAGGTCTTTTGGGCAGATCAAAGGGGACAAATGTCACCAATGACGACATGAGTGGTGGAGCCTCATGCGACATACAATGTCATATGTTGTATGGAGGAGTCAACATTGGGGCTTCGGAGATTCAAAGGATTAGAGCATTAGAGCATTAGAGCATCAGGGCTTCAGAGCACCAGAGCTTTAGACTATCAGAACATCGGACCATACGGATATTCCTCGAGCAGACACTCGTGGACGAAAGGGGAAGATTCAACCCCATGTTCAACTGGGGTAATCAGGGTAGAGCTAAAACCCCTAGCAACCCCTCTTAGCTTTTCTTTGTGCCCGACGATTAAAATTAGTTATTAGTTACGTACTCCACACGGTTCCACGTATGTTGTGCTCGCTTTGTCTTAAGAATCTTGTTAGGATACTCCGTATACCGTATATCGATGTTAGGTACGGAGTACAACATATGGTGTACAGAGAACGGAGCATATCGGACAGTGGTATGGACTAGACCTTTCAACCACTCAACTCTGATCTCACAATCTGGAAATCCGATGATCCTAATCTTAATCCATACAATCTATCCCGTAGGGGGGGGGGGGGGGGGAATCCGACCAATGAGCCATGGAGAATAGGTGATGCTGATCTCATGGGTGAGATCACCACGGTTGACCGGTCCATTCATCTTTGGTCGGGGATCAACACTAAATCGGAAACCTACTTGTACTTTTGGGGAGCAGATGCATCAAGTTCATCGAAAACAGTCATAGCCGGATTCAGAGGTGAATCAGCAATCCCCCATTTATAGTTGGCACCCTATGGTCCCTATGGTGTAGTGGACATAGGTTGCACCAAAGAATTATAGTATCATTCTTTCGTTACATGAGATTTCTTAGACTTTCAAAACATTTGGATGTTGTCGATGTGAGAAAGACCAACTGTGACAGATTAAAGATGGAAGGCCTGATTCTCCAGGAATCCAAGTGAGGCTCCACACAGCCACAGTGCCACAGCCACCGTTCCTGATCTGCTTTGACCGCGAACTGTAGCCTGTAGCATCAAAGAGCCAAAGGGTGTCAGGTGCTAAGATAACATTGCATGACAAACAGATCTCAGTAAATCCAGCACGTCTCCGTCAATAGAATTGATATGTCAATCGCATCGCAACACCGTGTCAACCCTCATATCAACCTCCTTGGCTCCATGAACACTCAACATGGCACCAACCACTAAACCCAACGGTCGAAAATGTAAGCCACGTGTGAGAAAGACGAACCGTGGTGTCCGCACTCGCGAAGGCCATGCACGTTCGATAGATGCAGGCTCGCCAATCCAATCGCTCGCTGAAGTACTCAACGAGACAAAGCGTCGTAAACCCAAGAAAACATGGGCAGCACTCATACCTGTCTCTGACGCTCCACTCGAGAAAGTGAGTTTAACTTTTGATCCGTCGAGAAGAATGCTCGGCTGAAAAGATCACCAGAACATTGTTGAGCACGTACCCTTGCCAGATGGCTACGTTCTAGTCCCCAAGGGCGATGTCTACATCACTCGACACTGCCGCAGTAAGACCAAAGAGTCAGAACGAATGGTCTATGTCGTCTACGTAGGTCCTCACCCAAAACACCAATTTAAAGCTAAGCACGGCACCACTAACAGCGCCAGAATCGCACGGGCAAAAGAACCCTGGGAATCCGAGTGCCCGAAGAAATCTACACCGAAGTTCACGAAGCAGCCGCCGCAACAAAAGAATCCCGCGCCAAAGCCGTGCAAGTGCGCGATGCCAAGGATCTCTCCAAATCCCGAGACCTCTTAAAAAACGAATTCCCGCTTATGCCCACGGAAACCCTCAAAATCATCCTGGAGCATGCTTTTCTCAAGGGATCGGGGCGCGTAGGGCGGACAGCGATGCTCAGTGACGAGAAAAAGACGCTCCTGGCTGTTGAGGCGCATATTCGACACGTCCACACGCCTTATGAGAAGTTACTTGAGGAGGGCGTCAGTCGAAAGGATGCTCGTGAGCAGGTCTGGTCTACTATTCAGGCCGTTGAACTGGCATGGCAGGGGTGTGAGAAGCGTGAGATCACATTGGCATTGCGTCTGGTGGATGATTGAAGGTTGGCATTTCTCTTTTGATGGGATTGGGTGGGGACTGCATTGCTGGAGTTTGTCGTGGCGTTATCCAAAACAGGAAACTATAAGGCTATGGTGCTTAGGGTCATCTAACGCTCACTAGGTCTGTTTGTGGGACATACTGGAGTATACTACTGTTGATTTTTTTTTTCCTTGATCGCGACTATGTCAGTAGGTTTTAATGATTCGTGGATGAAGTCAGATCACTAAGAGAATAGCATTGGTGGCTATCTGAATGTGAGAATAGGGCGAAGAAGTAGGGGAGAGAGAAGAAGAAGAAGAAGAAGGGATAGAAGAAAAAGGAACAAACAGGAAAAAGACCTAACTAATGCATCTTGCTCACCCAAGAACACAGTAATTGTCAAAAGTACCTCGAATCCCTCAACCGATCCCTTCGAAGCTCATCAATCCCACTTCTAACCTGGAAGCAGCGCTTGTAGAGCTCAGAACCTCACTCAGTCACAAGGCATCGATCTAGAGGCGTCGACCACGAAGGAATTTGACCTCAAAATGCGGGTGACGGTAAGGCAAACCCGAGAACCAGCCAAAGCCATCCCGGATCATATCTTGCATGGTACCCATCCGAAGAGTGGCATCAATAAGGGCCTGATCACGGTTTGCCTGGTCAGTATCAACGCGAATGTAGACGTGGGGTCCAGGTCGCTCAGGCAGGGTTTGCAGGACTGGAATTCCCGCTCTTTGAATATGAGTAATTTCAGCGCGAGCGGCAGTCAGAACGTCAAGGTCGAGAGTCGGCATGGGGCGAGATCGAATGGGAACGTAGAAGATGTGGCGGTGGATTCCATTCTCCTCATATTGCTCATTGGTGCAGGCTCTGGTCGTGGCTGATGTAGGCTCTTGGACGGGAGGGGTGTCAATTTCCATCGGATCAAGTTCCATGAGATCGAGATCTTCCTCCTCGTCTTGAACAGTGGCGTAGCGGCTGCTACTCATGCCAGGCCGGATAGGGTTGCGGTATGGGCCAACTCGGTAAGCACTGTTCTGAGAGCTTGATGCGTTGGGTCGCCCTGTTGAACGCCCACGGATTTGGCTCTGTTGTCTGATCTGTCTTGCAAACTGTCTCGGGAGCGCACCTGTACCACTGGTTGTATTGTACGCCATAGTGCTAAACACAATTTTTAGCCTATGCTTATCTCATATTTCGCTCGTTGGGGGTCATGTACCCGTAGAGGCCTTGTTATCTTCCTTGAGGAAGAGTGCACATACGGTGTGGTACAACTAAGGCTGAAGTCTAGTCGAAGGGAAAGAGAGATCAGAGCCATCTGCCCAATGTCAACAAGACTGTTACTTAGCTGCTGTGACACGTGATTTCGAAGCTTGAGATCTTTACGTGATTTGGGTGTTTCGGATGAGAGAATCAAAGATTTTCAAACCAACCAAGACTTTAGGCTATGTTTGTTATTGAATTATGAAAAAGCTTGAAAGAACGGCGTGATCCTAGTCAGATTCACAAGTATGCTCCATTTTGATCCAACGAAAACATAAGGAGTGTCTGCTGTATATAAAAAGCATAGCCAAGCTTTTCTGGAGCTCTCGTGGGTGATCGCTTCATAGTTCCCGATTAAGATTGCCAAGACAGTGCCAAGGCATCCACAGTCAACCCCACAATTATATGGATAGCCAGGAATGTTCCCCAAATGTTCTTGAATGTTTTACTTCAAGATCAGAGACCTAAAATTCTAGACAAGAATCACCATACCTAGAGTTCCCTCTGCCACCTTCACCTCAAATATCATCATTAACCCCCGTGAAACTTCCCAACCCCACTATCCAGGGTCCCTCCCAGTTACACCAATCAGCTGAAAGCAATGAGACGAGGCCTTCCCGAGGTCTGTTTGGGGGCTAAGTCTGACAGCTCAAAGAAAATTCACCCCTCTTCCTTTTTGGGTGTTTGGAATGGCTAGTCCAAACACCACTCACCATGAGGAGTCGCATGTTTCTTGGGTTTCCAACCCGACATAAATATGTCCTGATGGCTGTGATTCTGACTCTGTTCTTTCTTTTCAAGGCCTTGCCTACGCCAACATCCAGGTTAGACCCCCGTGTGGAGAAATCAGACGGTGAAGACCGACCACGATATCTTCACCAGTCTACATTTCGTGCGGACCCAGACTATGCATACGAGATCAAACTTTCCAGTGCGCTACGCGCCATGGAGATAGAAGGGGAAATGCGCCACGATAAGGATGTGACAGACACTCTATGGCAGATTATGCTACCAGGCGTCAGCCAGCGAAGCGACGATTCAATCCAAATTGAGCAAAAGAACTCAGAATGGAAATACAAGGTACGGCCGACAATGAACAGTTGATTTATCTTTAATGAAATACTAGATTGAACCGCAGCGACTAACGTTACGATTCACAGCTCGTAGAAGCCGACTGGGCTGACAAATTCATTTTTGAGACTTTTGAATCCATCCCAGACATCGCCCGACTCTACAAATCATACCCGCACTCCGTTCACCGAGGCGATCTCCTCCGTTACTTGATTCTATGGTACTACGGCGGCTACTACGCAGATCTTGATGTCTATCCTGCCCGAAGCATCAAATCCTGTCCATCACTGCGTGATTCAATCTTCAAAGGCAACAATGTCAACACGAATGTTTCGCTAGTTGTCGGAATTGAGATCGACGAGCCCTTCGCTTCGCCACAGAAGATGCGCGACTGGCACTGGGCCCGACGCTACGGCTTCATCCAGTACACGATGTATGCGCCACGACGGTTTAGTCCGCTGCTGAGAGAAATCATCGTTCGTGTACTGTCCCATACGAAGCGTCGAGTCGACAAGAGCCATTTCTGGAGTAGGCGATACAACGAAATGGATACGTTGGAGATTACGGGGCCGGGGGTGTTTACAGATGCGATTCTCGACGTGCTATCGGATACGTTGCCATCTACGCATCGGTTAGTTCAGCAGTCCATGGATGCGGATGCTAAGTTCTGGTCCCCGGGGGCGTCCATACAGCGTGTGACGTGGGCGCCTTTCCACGGGATTCAAGAGCCGCTCTGTGTGGAGGGTCCTGAGGCCAAGTCTCGAAAGCTGCTGGGAGGGCTGTGTGTTCTACCTGTCAATGTTTGGGGCAATGGACAGCGCCATTCCGGATCGGAGGGCTTCAACAGTCAGCAAGCTTGTATCAACCATCGGTTTGGAGGAACCTGGAAACCTTGGAAACAGAGCTGGCAGAAGTATCTCTTCGGGTGACATGACTTCCATGATATGTTCCAAGTCGTTTGATTCTTACAATAGGATTGTTACTATCAAGGTCTTTGTGCCTTCTCAACTTGGCCTTCTGGAGCATCTCTACTGCCAGTCTCGTGTATCAGGCATGCACATTGGGCAACAATGCATGATTGGACCAAGTACCTATACAACATATGTAGCCTGCTCCGTTCTTCTATTTTCCCCAACCAACCTCTATCGAATCCAACAGAGGATTGTATACCTGCACTCATCACTATACTCTGAAGTCTGCAGAAGCGTTTCGTGGATATGAGCGACTCAAGGTAGATGAAACGGGTGAACTCCTTGATGGCCACATCGCTAAGACAACGAGACAAGCAGTAGGATATCCCCAAAGCTCTTTGTTGTGTTCTACCGGCCGCGGTACGGAAATTTCGTACACTGGGCATTGTATATCGAGAAAGGTGAAGAGCATCACATTCTCGAAGTTGATGGCGAGCATCCGAACTTCAAACGCAATACGTTTATGGAAAATCCACAGGAGTCAAGCACTTTCTTACGCCAGTTCTTTATTGCTGTGCTCGGGGAGAGTGATGTTGAGAGAGTGAAGAGTGCAGCACAAAGTGTGCCTGTGGATAATGAGACCGTTGAGTGGGATTGTCAGGATTATGTGCTGGAGATCCTTGATCAACTACAGGAGGATTTCGTTTTGAATAAGGATGATGAGGATTATATGGATGTGCGGGAGATTTTGATGGAGGAGAGAGGAGGAATAGTATGAGATACACTTACCCTCGAGGGTTTATATGTCCGTAGGAGTCGCTAGTTCCTCAGTACACATGGCTTTCAGGCAAGTCATTTTAATCAATGTTTGATCAGTGAGTGAACTACAATTTGAAGAAGTGAGGATGAATCCTCTCAGATGGGTGTACTAACAGAGAGGTAGTGTGCTCTTACTTAAGTGAGCTTTTTCCTCTTCTCTTGATCGGCAACCGAAACCATCTCCATCTCAACCTCTTTCATCTTTTCTTTCATCATCTTCTACTTGCCACCATCATGTCTGAGAGCGAAGTAAATTTGGTACTTCTGATTTGATCTTGTGGACGGCCGTATCTCATGTGCTATCTCATAGCCCTGTTCTCAACTGACAATCGTACCTAGGCCACCGTACCCTCGCCCCCCCCCCCCCCCAAAAAAAACGCCGGGAAGAAGTGGCAATTCCACGTTCTTTCAAGAAATTTCAAGGCAGGCGCATTCAGCTAGGCTCTTTCCTTTAACTCTCAACTTTTCTTCTACGTTCTTATTAATCCCATACAGAGATCAAGCTCACTTGATCTTCAGTGAGGATTCCAATAAGCAACTATCTAACACAGAGTGTGAACATCTCTAGGCCAACCGGCTCGCTTGAGTGGTACCGAATGAACATCTCTAAAGGCGCCGTCCGGGGTTCCTCAAAGGTCCATAGTTACGAATGCTGCAAGGCGAGGCCTTTGCCAGTGTTCACCGTTTGCATGGTTCTCTCCTTCAGTGGGCCCAGGAAAGAGAGAGTGAGCGTTTAAAAATAGAGGACGTTAGTGAGACAAAACTTCTCAGCAGGCTATATTGCTACATAGCACGACGGACTGGATGAAGGTGACAGTTCCCAAAGGGTCTGTGATTCCCTCGAATGAGCATCATCTTCATTAGAGCTTCTAGCGCACGGATAGGAAGTCCCAGGTCTGGATCATTGACAGCAACGCCCGCGATATATGACATGATCGTATGGGGCTTGAGAGGGCCCCTGCCACTACTGTATCGTCAAAGGTGCTTCCCCTGCCAATCTTTAGGCCGAGTAGAGCATAGCCCCGGATCTCCTTGTTTGTACAGTGGGCTGGAAAGGGTGAGCACTGGGAAAACAGTACTATACTCTGTCGCCTACCTACAAGGATAATTTCTGGTCTCCGAGGTCCCAAAGGCAATAGATCCCTTGGTTGGATGTTTCTGGACGTGTGAAACTGCCTGCACATATCATCGTGTCTCGACAGGCCTTGCATGTACCAGTCCTCGCCATATTGTAAGTCTTGAAGGGTCTCGATTTGAGACTTCACCGCTTGCTGGAGTTCTTCTGGGTCTGAATCCTCCTCTTGGTGATCTTCGAAGATTTCATCGCAAGTTGGAACTAGCCTCAGCCTAGGTGGTTTCTCGATTTCTTCGGGGTCAGGGGTTGCCCGGATACTTCTGGAGGAGTCTGTCTTCTGTCTGGGGGTGGATGGAACAAGCAAGGGTCAAATAGGAGGGTTTCGTCATTTACCGTCGCGACTTGGGATCCTTGGATTCCAAGCCTCTGAAGGTCATCATGGGAAGGATGGTTAGGCTCGAAGGCTTGAAGTTACCGAGACCGGCGTTGGAGAAAATAACGAGGCTCATGTGTTGCAGAGTCCATTTCGCCAACGACCGGAACGGGGGAATCAGAAATTAAATCACAGTAAACGTTCGACGAAAATCGGAGGTTCTTCGGTCGCGTTGATGGATGACGAAACAAACGACTTGGGTCTTCCCCAAGGTACTGGCTCTTTTTGAAGATCAACCTCAGACATTACTCCCACATCATCAGCCTATGAGAATAACATGAACCCATCACCGTCGCCGTGGTGCGGCAGAACATTGACCAGGCAGAGGAAACTCCCCAAAAAAAAACAAAAAGCTCCTTGGCATTTCAGCGAAGCCTGATATAGCATCCATGGACCACATCACATACTTCGCTGCTCCGTGAGCAAAAGCGGCGACGAACCGGAAGGGGAGAGTCACTCCATCCGTTCGTACCTATTCTTCTCTACTCTCACACCTCTATGCGTAAATGGTCTCTTGTGACACTTGGATCAATCCTTTCATTCGATATCGAATTACTCAGAACTCACTCAAGGAGATGCAAGAAGATCTAGATATGGAGTTGGGACAGTTTGATGACGTCGATGTTCAGGTCGGCACGACCTTGAAGGAGACCATGACCTTGTTCAACGAGGATCACTATCGTACTCCCGAAAAGAAGACTCTATTGAAACTATCGGATTGTCATACTCCGCTCCGACTTCCAAAATTTTTAAAGATTCGAGTATACTGGGCAAGATTGCTAGGTTGGTGATTGGGACATGGATAATGAGGGACTTCATCTTAGGAGGTAGGAAGATATTCTGTTGCTGTGTACGCAAAATGAGTCTCATTATCTGGTAGTGATTTGGGTGTAGTATGACATGTATTTTCTGTTGGAGCAGGCCTTGCAGTTGACCACAAGCCAAATGACTAGGATCTTAAAGGAGCCAATGATCAACAAACCAAAGAACATTTACTGCTCGGCAGATAAAAAAAAAAAAAAAACAAAGGTACATATGAGAGCAACACTGGGTATTATGCGAGTTTGGGGAAAAGAAACCAAACCGCTTTCAAGCCAAACAACAAGGAGACACTGAGGCATGCCATGCAGTGGCTCGCAAGGGAAACTGAAATGCCGAGAACCACTAGTTCAAGCACCGTACATCCGCACATCCTCCGCATCAACTTCCTCACGGCGGCGGAGGAATGTAGCTTCTTCAAAGTCGTCCATGTCCATAGTGAGCTGTTCAATCTTGCTGTGACGCACGGCAAGAATACGACGACTACGACCCACATTTGGAGACCGGATGGTTCGCCCAGATGAGTTGTTCCGCCAGGATGTGCCGAGATTATCAAATGTATCATCGGCATCCTCACCGACGAGAATATCACCATCGAATTCCAAAGCCCGCTTTTGACCGCTCAAGGGCAATGACACAATTGAGTCTTGGCTGCTGGGCGGGATCGAGTATGCGTCGCCGTCATCTGTGACAAGGTAGTCATCATGGCCAAAGGAAGATTTATCGGCGCCAGAAAACGGCGACAGCTCAGAGGGTCTGCTGCCATGGTACCGTTGAGCACCAGGGGTCTGAGTGACAGCTGCAGGGAGTGGGGCCTTTTCTTCTGTCTTAGACATGTGGGTTCTATATCCGTCTGCGACAGATTTCCGGACCCGCATTCCGACGGATAGAAGAGAGGACTGGACTTTGGCAGGCACAACGGGGTGGGCAGAGAAGGTTTCTGCAGCGTAATGATGGTGGTGAGATACTGCAGGTGTATTTGAAGACACTGGTTCTGTGGCAGATGTGAAGAACGTGGTGATGGGAGGTTGGAAACGTCGTCGCTTCGACAAGTCGGTGTTGCTGGGTGGTATCGGGCGGTTGATGGAAGGCATTTTGGAAACGGGGGTTTACGTTACAAGGGATGTGTCTTGGAACGATAGAAAGACGTATGAGATTTCAGATCGTGGAGTATCTCAAGATATCCAGGGAGTGACGTAGTGTCGAGGGGGAAGTAAAATGGAAAAAAGCAAAATCGAGGCTGCTCAGGCAACGGGACTTAACGCGGTACGCGTTGATCGCATCTTAAACCCCACTCATTAGCGCGTCTGCAAACCAATCAAGTACAGTTGATTGGACTTTAAATGATTCCTCATCTTTAATGTCGGAATGCTTTTAGGCACGGAGTTTGATCGATAGGTTTTGAATGCAGGAAAACAAGGGGCTGTCAAGAGGGTAGTGTATACTCTCTATAGTCTATCCTGCGAGTCTAAAATGACAAAAGTAATGTGCTGGAGATAACAAATCATTATTGTGGTTTTGTTTTTTTTAAAAAAAAGACATAAAAGGCCTACTGGCCAACGTTTCCTCTGCGTCCACCTCTCTTGCCACGATCGACATGAGCCCGAAGCACAGCACGGGTCTCCACCAAACTTCTCTTGTTCTTACTGCGCGCCTTACCCAGCGTCATAAGGAAGTTCTTCTTACGAGCCTTCTCCTTGTTGGTGGTACTCTTGCCTTGCTCCTCCTTGCGTTCCTTGCGGCGAGCCTCCTTGCTCATATGCTCAGACCGGTCGGTCTTGCCCTCCCTGGCATGAGCAATACGTTCCTCACGAGTAGCCTTGGCGGCAGATAGGGCAGCAAGACCCTCAATCTCGCTAGCGGTCAATGGGTCATCGGTATGGCGGGAGGTCCATGGAGCAGCGACACGGCCCTTGTTACCCGGAAGAGTGGCATCGGCTGCGGCCTGGGCGCGAAGCTCCGTAAGTTTGGCGAGATCGGCTGGCGTAAGGATGCGGGTGGTAGCCAGTTTCATGAAATCAATGGCTTTTTCGGCGTCGGCTTCTTTTTCGGTATCCTTCTTGGCCTCTTCGTCCTGCTTGGCTTTCTTTGATGCCGGCTTGCCTTCATCCTCGGAGTCGCTCAGCACAATGTCAACATCTTCCTCGACATTGATCCATTCTCCATCGATATCACTGTCCTCGTCATCTTCGACGTTCCAGGCTGCCCAGTCGGCTTCATCATTCTCCTCTTCGTTGTCTTCGGCATCAGATGGAAGACCGTTCTCGATGTTCTTCTTACGGCGCTCTTCGTCTTTCCATTTGGCCAAGAGTTCCAGGCCCTCAATTTCGCCGGCCGCCTGCTCACCGTAACGTCTCTCTGGTCTCTCGCCAGCACGCAGACTCATTGCGGCCTCTTTACCACGGTCACGCTTCTTCAGCATCTGCGCGCCAACATCACGGTAAAGACTGAGGAGACCCTTGGAGGCCATCATGACACCCTTATCCTTACTTTTCTTGTACATGACGAGATCCTGCAACAAAGTTTCTTCAATAGCCAAAGGCTGTCTAGCACAAATTTCACGGATGGCATTCAGACCGGCCGTCGCAACTTCACCTGCAGATGCTTCGGACACGAATTCGTTTGCAATCTTCTGAACCAGAGGCTCGAGAACATCAGGCGGCACCAAATCGTGGGAGGCTTGGGCTAGGGATGCCAGGAATGAAGTCACAGAAGGTTGGCGGGGTGTAAGGAACTTTTGGAAGTAGGAGTAAAGTGGCATAATGTGCAGCTTGTGCAAGCCGACCAGGCGGGAGACCAGCTGTAGCACTTGGAGCTTTTGCTCCAGATTCAACTTAGACTTGCCGTTTTGGAGATGCTTGAAGAACATGTTATCCGCGAATCCCTGGGGATCGTGCAGCAAATGAAGCGCGGAGAAGTTGAGGGGAGCAGGATTGCCCTTCTTACGCTCCTTGTTCCTGACCGCTTTAATGGCCTTTTCAGCGACACGGGCCTTCTTTCTGGTCTTCTTGTTGATAGTAAGTTGGTGCTTGACCTGGCCAACGTTGATCTCTTCGTCGCTGTCCTCGTCCTCCAATTCCTCGCGCTCCTTATCACCACCGAGGAAGAAACGAACTCCACCGATGATGATCTTCTCGTTTTGTGACAAGGCTGCCTCTTTCATGATTTCGACGGCCTTAGCCTCAGTCCAGATTTGGCGCTTCCAAAGCTCTCTGGTGATCTTGATCGCCCACAGGCCTTTAGCCGATGTGCGGTCTGATACGACCAAGTTGAAGAGAACGGTTTGCATGGTTCGGTTCAGCTTGTGGTTAGTGGTCTTCGAATTCGCGGTTCGCAGCTCAGAGAGGATCTTCTGGAAGAGTAGAGCCCGTAGGGTCTTGCTAGGTGTAGAAATGAGGATAGGAAAAAGAGTGTGAAGCAGCCTGAAGTAGTGGTTAAAAATCAATGGTAGGGAAGTAATGAGAAAAGTGTGTCTTCGTACGTTGCTGAATCCACAATTTCCTTCTTCTTCAAGAGCACTAAACTTCCAACCAGCTTCTCCCGCAACTCTGTCTCCAACACTAGGTGATGCTGCAAGAGCATGTCAATGAGCTGCTGTGGGAAGTCCTTGCAAATCTCTGGGTAACAGTCGGCCACATGGGAAATGAAGTCGATAAGATCACGAAGAGAAATCACACCGGTATCCGTAGCGGATGAGGGTGCCGCCATGAAAATCTCACGATGGGATTCATATTGGTAGTGTTGGGCGCGGAAATCTTCGATATAAGACCTGAATAGCGCAAAGCGACAATTAGTCCCCGACTGAATGCAACAGATCACAGGAGATCTCGGCATATAACTTACTTGGGATCTCTGCGAATCTTGTGCTGCAAATTGGGCCTGAGGATCGCAAAGAGGTGTTAGCTTCGCGGACTGAAGCCTCTGATCGATTGATCAGGGGCGCATCGGTTCAGACAAGATGGACATACAGGTCAGCCTCGACCTTTTCCAAGGCTCCAAGCTTTCTTTTGACCATTTTGAAGTTAGAAACAGGAATGTGGTGGTTGGGAAAAGGTATGTTGAAGATCCGAAACTTTTTTTTCTCCGTATTCTCCGTATCGATAAGCGATGGAAAATCTCAACCTTGGCAATATCCAACATCTGTTTAGGCTAGAACTATCATGTATCAATTTATAAACATTAGACATTTGGATCATAATTCTTCTACAATCTATTGTTGCTAGATCCATTCAAAACGAGAATAAAGAAATTTTTTCTTTTTAGGAAATGGGTCTCTTTACGACCCAAGGTCTTCATGATCGCATCACAACTACAAAGAAAGCCGTCCGAATGCGTTCCCTTTTAAGATCGTGCTTCCTCCTTGACTGTATCACAATATGTACAGCCTTGCAGATGCATGCGAATCCACTGAATCCCGGTTAAACCCCCGTCCACTCCAGTATACGCAAACAGAGGACCATACGGAGAACAAATCCAACACAACCCCTTTACCGGTTGCTCTTGGCAACACGCTCGAGCTCATCCTTCTTCTTGATAGCGTAGGAGTTGGAGGAACCCTTGGCGGCGTTGATCAGCTCCTCAGCAAGGCACTCAGCAATGCTCTTGATGTTGCGGAAAGAAGCCTCGCGGGCACCGATGGTGAGCAGAGAGATGGACTGGTTCACGCGACGGAGGGGAGACACATCGACGGCTAGAAGGAAATTAGCATTCAACTTCAGAGGTGGCGAAAGAAGACTGATTTCACATACCTTGACGACGGACGGTACCCTGGGAACCGATACGGGTGGAGTCCTCACGGGGACCACAGTTGACAATGGCGTCAACGGCAACCTGGAGAGGGTTCTGGTCGGTCATGATGTGGACCTGGTAGATTTGAACATTAGTGTCTGAGTTGGATGGTTGAAACGGTCGGAGCGGCACATACGATCTCGAAAGCGTGAGCGACGATGCGCACAGCAAGGAGCTTCTTTCCGTTGTTGCGGCCGTTCATCATGAGAGAGTTGGTGAGACGCTCGATGATGGGGCACTGAGCCTTGCGGAAACGCTTGGCGGCATAGCGACCGGCAGAGTGGGAGAGGTAGACGGGGGAGCGGATCTGGATGTAATCGCTATGATGGCGGGTCAGCACCTCTGTAAACCTGATAGTCGCGCAATTGCCGGCCCTTGCGCGCGCTGTCGATTTCCTGCTGTGTGCGAAGAGAAAACCAGTCCCATGGCGTGTTGTGTTTCCTCCGATTAAGAATTTCGATATCCCCCTTCAAGTTGTCGAAAAGTCTTGCCATTCCACCATTTTAACTCGTTTGAATATATTCTCACGCACACAACAGGAATTCACTCGGCGCGTAGAGGACCTGATAGAAAGACTCACGTCAGGGAAATGTCCCGGATCTCAACATCATCGTAGCTCCACTTGTTGAACAGCTTGATGCTGCCCTGCTCGGCCAGAACCTCCTTGGGCAGGACAGGGAAGGCAGCGACCTCGACGTCCCCGTTGTCGGACATGTTGACTGTGCGGGAGGGGTTCGTGGGAAAATGACCGGGTTGTCGTTTGGTGGTTGAACGTCGATGAGGTTCCAGGTATCCAAGAAAGAAATTGGTGTGACTCGCTTAGGTTGTGCGGGGGTCATGTGATTAGGGTAGGCTGAGAGTGGAGATCACATGACTTTGGCCGTGTTGCCTTGCTGCCTTGCTGCCTGAAGATTGAATCTTCAAGATGGTCGGCACCAGACACCGGGAAAACCAAAATAATCCCATGCCCATGTTGATCGCACTGGTTTTCTACTGATTCTACTGACTCTACTGAGTACATTGGGCCTTGCATTCAATTTTAGTCCTACATCTGTGCAATCCAAAACAAAATCCTACATCTGAATACACGAACCCAGTCCCAAATTGATGTAAAGTGGTGTCTCATTCCCAATAGTTCCGAGCATGGACCAGGACGCGCGATACATCCAAGTCAGATAGTGTCTGAACCGCCGCAATTTTTGTCGGAGCTCGATGTGATAGGCTTTCATGGTTTTGATGTAGAATACTCTCTAAATTTTCTATATATAACTGAGACAGTCACACCTGTATGGAGCTGCAGTCTCTC